AATGCATGTTTCCACGAATAATAGTTTTACTGACAAATGAATAAATTTGAAGTACAATACAAACATTTTAATTTAAAAATACACTTGCTTGGTTGTGCAGGAATCAAGCTGTTCATATGATTGTGCCCAGATGTTTAACTGCCAGAAAAGTGAAATTACTCTGAATTACTACTAGTGCGCATTAGAAGTGCCTTAATGTTGAATAAATTGGTGTGCTAGCTCTAATGGAGCATTAGAATAACTTTTCCTGGGGTTCCAAAATTCATCCTGGTAGGAGTTCAAAACATAGAAACCCCAGGATGTACTATGGTTTAGGAAAGGCTTTTAGAGCAGTAAGGAAAATGTACAAATTTACTTCATTTCAACCTATTGTGTACTCACAGTGCTAAGGAACAATTAAAGCCAGAAAAGGAAAATAATGCACATTGTTACCACAAACAGCAAAAGAAAGTAAAACAAAAGTGATCAACAATAATATGTAGTTATCCAGCACCTTTAATGTAACAGACTTCCCAAGGCAATTCATTTTAAAATGAAAAATGAAGCAAGCTACATAGGGAAATACTACAGCAGATTGCCAACAACCTGGTTAAACAGGTAGGTTTTAAAGAGTGTCTTAAGGGAGAAAAGATGACAGAGATCAGAGAGGTGAAGGAGGGAATTCCAGAGATCAGGACTGAGGAACCTGAAGGCATGGCTACCAATGACGGAGCAATTAAAATTAGTAGTAGTCAAGAGGCCAGTGTTCAAGGAGTACAGACATCTTAGAGGCAAGAAGCAGCCAGGCTATTGAGGGATTTTTGAATAGAAGGATGAAAATTTTAAAAATGAGACATTGGTTGTTCAGTATAGGTCGGTCACCACAGCTGTAATGATTGAATGACACTAGGTGCAAAATAGGATAGAGGTAACAACATATAAACATAGAAATGTTGAAAATAGGACCAAGAGTAGGCTAACCAGCCCTTTGGGCCTGCTCTGCCATTCAGTATAAATCAGTGGCTGTTCAAACAACTCAGTACACTTTGATCCCTTTCACTCAAAGAACTATAACTAGTTCCTTCTTGAAAACATTCAATGTTTTGGCCCCAAATGATTTCTGTGGCACAGAATTCCATAGGCTCACCACTGTGTGGGTGAAGAAATGTCCCCTCATCTCAAATGCCCTAACCCCATATCCTTAAACTGTGACCCCTGGTTCTGGATTCCTTCTGAATTTACACGGTCTAGTCTTGTTAGAATTTCTATGCAACCAACCCCCGCCCCCAATTCTTCTAAACCCTCGTGAGTATAGTCCCAACTGATTCAGTCCCTCTTCATATTCATACAACAGTCCTCCCAACTCAGGAATCAATCTGGTAAACTGTTATTGCATTCCATCCATGGGCAGAGCATTCTTCCTTAAGTAAGGATGCATATTGCATCCAATACTTCCAGGTGTGGCTTCGTAAGATCCTGTACAATTGCGGCAGAACATCTCTGCTCCTGTACTCAAATCCTCTTGCTATGAAGGCAAACATACCATTTGCTTTCTTCACTGCCTGCTGAACCTCCATGCTTAATTTCAGGGACTAGTGTTCAAGGACACTTGTTGCACCTCCCCCTTTCCCAATTTCTCACTTTCAGACAATAATCCACCTTCCCACTTTTGCTACTGAAGTGGATAACGTCATAATTATCGACATTATATTTCATCTCCCACTTACTCAACTTGTCCAAATCACACTGACGCATCTCTACATCTTCCTCACGATTCACCCCTGCACTCAGCTTTGTGTCGTTTGCAAACTTGGAGATATTACATTTAATTCCTTCATCTAAATCATAAATATGTGTTGTGAATAGCTGGGATCCAAGCATTGATCCCTGCAGTATCCCATATCCCACCAGTCACTGTATGCCACTTGGTAAAGGTCCCATTTATTCTTACTCTTTGTTTCCTGTCTGTGAACCAGTTCTCTATCCATGTCAGTACGCTGCCCGAATCCCATGCACTTTAATTTTACATACTAATTTCTATGTGAGAACTTATCAAAAGCCTCTGAAAGTCCAAGACCCACATTCACTGGGTCCCCTTTATCAACTCTCCCAGTTACATCCTCGAAAAATTCTAGTAGATTTGTCAAACATGATTTCTTTTAGTAAATCCATGCTGATTCTGTCTGATCCTGAGTTTATTTTCCAAGTGCTCTGCTGAGAAATCTTTTGTAATAGATTCTACTATTTTCTCCATTTCCAATGTCTTAGATTCACACACTAGTTTCAGAATCAATTATGTTACTCTCCATCCTAATGAAGAACTCTATCACATTAGGGTCACTCTTCCCCAAGGGTGCTTCACAACATTACATTGCCAATTATTCCTTTCTCAATATAGAATAACAAGTCTAGGATTATCTGCTCTCAACTTGTTTCCTCAATGAATTGATTCAGAAAATCATCCCGTAGACACTACTCAGCACAATTATGACTGATTTGTTTTGCACAATCTTTGAAGATTGGGCAAATTCAAAGTTCTGGATGATGTCAAGTTTACAGTGGGTATAGAATATGGGAGTCCAGCCAGCAGTGCATTAGACTAGTAAGCTCAGAATTAAGTCTGGATGAGGCTTTCAGCAGCACAGGAGCTGAGGCAGGACTCAGGCAATGTAATGGAGATGAAAATAGTCATCTTAGTAATGTTACATAAATTTGTTGCAATCACATTTTCTGGTCAAATACGCCCAGAGTTTACTGGTTCAGCTTGGTTTAACCTCAGACAGTTGTCAAGGGAGGGTGATGGAATCTCTGGTGACGTAGTAGTGAAATCTGTGGCGGGACTGAAGCTAATAGTTGTAGTCTTCCCAATTTATAATGAAGGAAACTTCTGGTCATCCAGTACTGGATTTTGAGTAAGCAGAAGAATGTCTGACAATTTAGAAATAGTGGAGGTTTCAAGAAAGGTAGTGATGGCAGAGTAGAGCTGGTCTTCATCAACACATATGGGGAAATTGATGTGCTTATAGATGTTCTTGCTGAGAAGTAATATATGGGTGAGAAATAAAAAGTCTAAGGATAGATCCTTGTGGGCCCCAAACCTGTGTAAGCATGAGGAGAGGTAATTGATACCAATTCCCTGACTACAATTAGATAGACAAGAATGGAACCAGGAAAATACAGTCCCATCTAGTTGAATGACGTTGGAAAGGTGTCACAGGGGTTTGATGTGATGAACTGCATCAAAGGGTGCAGGCAAATTGACAGTGATATGGCGGTATAGCTTACCTTTGTCATAGTCACATAGGATGTCATTTATGAGGTTATTAAGAGCAATTTTGGGGTTTTCAGTCTGCTGTAGCACCAAGTGGAGGGAATCAGGTGTGGAGCTGAGAGGACATATTCAAGGACTTTGGAGAGGAAAGGAAAGTTGAAAATTCTTATCAGAGTTTCTCCAGCATTTTCTGCATTGGTTTCAGATTTCCTGCATCCGCAGTATTTTGCTCTTGCTTAAATTACTGAGGTTGTTATGCAGCGCTAATAAAGATATCAACAAGAATCAATTTACTGACATGTTGGAGGAGAATGATATGAAGCTGAAGCAAGGAAATCTGGAGTATTGGGTAGAGACACAAGATCAACTACTCGTGCAGGCATTGAAAAATCTAGCTTGACGGCAATGAGAGGCAATTAGTGTGGATGGAAATCTCACTTAAATTGTTACAGATGAATTTTGTCAATTCCTTGAACAAGAGCTCTACCAAAAAGGAACCGGCAGTAACAGTAAAAATAACAATGATACTTCGGTATTCACAGAGAACAGAACATAGTCGTGTGCACCCCATTTATTCATTCAATCTATCTGCAAACTCCAGTGGTTATCCCTCGATAAGAATGCTACCATAAACATCCAAATAATCTGCACCCATTGTATATGAATTATGCATATATCTTGTGAACTGAAACAGATATTTGTGCCTTTTGCATGTGTTCTTCTTTAATCGTTTCAAATAACTAATCAAGTATTTGGTGCAATGAGGCTTGATAGGAATTATTAGCTGCTCGATTTCACAGAATTAAACAACAGATCAGCAATTATAATTAAATTTACTTAGTTACGCAAGTACAAATTATCTTGTTGTAATGACACAAAATAAAGAGCAACCCATGCCGCTCCATATGAATTTTAAAAAACACTATTACTTAAAAATAACATTTTCTTCAAAATCCTCTCTGTGGGGAAATTTGTCAAAAATCCTGAAATGTGCAAATGACTCATAACCCCGCTACATGATCCACATTCCCAAAGGTCCTGCTAAAATACCATGAATGCATTTTAAAGTTTTAAATATTACTTAGCATTTGCCTGTGCATCAAAATAATTACACCATCTAGAGTTGGCAGGCATTCAAATTGTTCAAACATGCAAATGTTCGTATATTAATTTAGACTGGTTCGTGGTGCTACTGATCATATTACCAACATCTATGATAACTGTAGCCGGTCTTCGTACTTTGAAAACCTCAATCATTGCTTGAGAAGCTACACTAATGTGCTTGATAGAAAAGTGAGTTTCTTTTCCCAAAATCAGTGGTACTGATTGAGTAGTTACAATCATAATTATAAATTTTCCACTGGAAATCTTCTCAAGGAAAGTAATAAAAAGAATACCAAATTACAATTGCAATATTAAGAAATACTAAGAAAATCTAGAGCTAAAATACTGGAGTAGAGCATAGATTATGATGTGATTTAGGTGTTCAGAAATGATCATTCAGTGAAGCTTATAAATTTTCATGCACCTTAAGTCAGGTTACTCCAGAATACCAATAGCAGGTCTATATGAACGTTAGTCAAGTTACTAACATACCAATCAAATAACTGAGACTAGGGTGGAGGTGTTGGGAGGTAAGATAGGATTTTCACTTTGCAATACAATGTATTTACTTGACAATTTGTGGTGTAAGTACAATTTTGTTCCAATACAGATCAAACAAAATCATGGTCAGGCTGTTGCACTGTACCTTCTCATATCTTCCTGGATGAACAGTGCGATCATTTGTTTAGGGATGAGGAAAGACAGTGTAGTTTCAGCCATCTGTTCCCTTACACACAGCCACCTACCATTAGCTGTGGGCAATCTGTAGACTTTCCATATGATATTTTTAAAGACTGCAATAAAAAAAAGAGATCAATGAACATATTATAAAGTAATTTAAGTTAAAATAAAATAGGTAAAACTCTAATTACAGATATCTAAGTGTTCTAACAAGGCTGTTTGGTTGCTCAGTAAATGTACTGGTCTATTTGACCAATCACCCTAAAGATAATGTAGCATGTGATCTGTCAGTAACTGGTACAAAGGGCTTCAGCAGCTCATCCATTAAATATTCATCTAATGATCTTACAGAAGTTTATTACACACAATGCAAAATACAGATAACTCTTCATAAATAGGCCAACATGTACTTAATTTGTAGGATATGCAAAATGTCTGCTCTTGGTTTATAAATTCTCAGGCAAAACACCAAGACAGCATTCAATTATACAGCTGTGTTCACTGTTTTTCTTTGTTCCTACAGTTCTCACTTTCTTCTTTATTGTCAATAGCTTCCCAGTCTGAAATGGCACCCAGTTTGCAGATAATTTTTAATTACTGACTTAGAGAAGTTTGGACATTTTTGAGTCCTAGTCCAGCATCAAATGGCAACACTTGGAAGTGTCTCATTTTAGCTGTGTTTTCTTATTTATTTTGGTTTAAAGATTCTGTCCCCTTATACCAAGTATTAAGAACTTTGCAAACAGATAATGAAAGCAAAAAAAAGTTTGAAATATTCAGCGGGTCAAGCAGCACCCTTGGAGAAAAACAGTTAATATTTCACATTCATAATGACAATTCTTGAAGCTCTTCACAGATATTGCCGCGCTTCAGCTTTTATTTCTGAGTTCCATAATCTACAGTATTATACTTTTTCATTACAAAAACATGTTTGGCAAACCCAATAAGATCATTAATTAAAGATAATTATAAAACCATAGGAGCAGAATTAGGCTGTTCAGCCCACTGAATCTGCTCCACCTTTCATTTATGGCTGGTATATTTCTCAACCCAATCCTCCAGCCTTCTCCCCATAAGCCATGATCCCCTTACCAATCAAGAATCTACCTATCTCTGTCTTAAATACACTCAATAACTTGGCTTCCACAACCCTCTGTGGCAATTATTTACACAGATTAACCACCCTCTGGTTGAAGAAATTCCTCTTCATCTCAATTCTCAAGAGTCATCCCTTCACTCTGAGGCTGTGCCCTGGGGTCCTAATCTCTCTTACTAGTGGAAACATTTTCTCCACATCAAGTCTACCTAGACCCCTCATTATTCTGTAAGCCTCAGTCAAACTGCCCCTCATCCTCTAAACTCCATCAAGTACAGACCCAGAGTCCTCAACCACTCCTCATATGACAAGCCCTTCATCCCTGGAATCATTCTTGTAAACCTTCTCTGGACTCCCAATGCCACCACATCCTTCCTTATATACAGGGTCCAAAACTGCTCACAATGTTCCAAATGTAGTCTGACCAGTCTTACACAGCTTCCAGCTGTACATTTCTATTTTTGTATTCTAACCTTTTTGAAATAAATGCTATCATTGCATTTGCCTTCCTAATTGCCAACTGAATTTGCATGCTAACCTTAAGAAAGTCCGGAACCAGGACTCCCTTTGTGCTTCAAATATTTGAAGTTGTCCTCATTTAGAAAATAGTCTATGATTCTGTTCTTCCTACAAAATTGTATACTGTCATACTTTCCAAAGTTATATTCCACATGTCACTTCTTTGCCCACTCTCCTATCCTGTCCAAGTCTTTCTGCAGCTTCCCTGCTTCCTCAACACTGCAGGATCCTCCACTTATCTTTCTGTTACCTGTAAACTGAGTAACAATGCCCTCAGTTCTTCATCCAGATCGTTAATGTATAACATGAATAGCTGTGGTCCCAACACTGACACCTGCAGAACTCCACTAGTCACCAACTGCCATCCTGGAAAAGATCCCTTTATCCCTACTCTCCGCCTTCTGCCAGTCAGCCAATCCTGTATCCATGCAAGTATGTTTCCCCTAACACCACGGGGTGTTATTTTGTTTAGCAACCTCCTGCGCAGCACCTTGTCAAAGGCGTTCTGGAAAACCAAAGAGACCACATTTACTACATTTCCTTTGTCCAACTCGCTCATTACCTCTGCAAAGAATTCTATCAGATTTGTCATGGATGACGTCCCTTGATGAATCCATGATGGCTCAGCCTTATTTTGCCATGGACTACAAAGTACTCCACAAACTCATCCTTAATAACGGACTCCAAAATCTTAACAATGACCAAGGTCAGACTAACCAGCCTGCAGTTTCCTGTCTTCTGCCTCTCCCTTTCTTAAACAGGAGTTAGCCATTTTCCAGCCCTCAGGGACTCTTCCTGACTCCAGTGATTCCTGAAAGACCACCACCAAATCATCCCCAATTTCCTCAGCTATCTCCTTCAGAACTCTGGGGTGTAGTTCATCTGCTCTTGGTGATTTATCTACCTTCAGACCTTTCAGCTTGCCCAGGACCATCTCCTTAGTGATGGCCACCATACTCACCTCTGCCCCCTGTCTCTCTTGAAGTTCTGGTATGCTGCTGGTGTCTTGCACTGTGAAAACTGATGTATGGTACTTATTCAATTCCTCTGCCATTTCTTCATTCCCCATTACTATTTCTCCAGCTTCATTTTCCAGCAGTCCAATGTCCACACTTGCCCCTCTTTTACCTTTTAGATATCTGAAGAAACTCTTGCAATCGTCTTTAATTTTACCTACTTACTTACTCTCATATTTCATTTTCTCCCTCATTAATGTGTTTATGATTATCCTGAAGAAGGGTCTAGACCCGAAACGTCAGCCTTCCTGCTCCTCTGATGCTCCTCGGCCTGCTGTGTTCATCCAGCTCTACACCTTGTTATCTCTATAATTATCCTCTGTTGTTTTTTAAAGCTTCCCAATTCTCTGGCTTCCCACTAATCTTCACCACATTGTATGTTTTTTCGTTTGCTTTTATGCTGTCCCTGATTTTGCCAGCTGTGGTTGCCTCACCCTTCCCTTAGTATGTTTCTTCTTCCTTGAGATGAATTTCTGCTGTGCCAAGTTATGCGCAGAAACCTCTGTCTGCTGCTCCACCATCCTTCCTGCTAGCGTTCCCTTCCAATCAACACTGGCCAGTTACTCCCTCATATCTTTGTTGTTTCCTTCACTCAATTGTAATACTATAACATTTGATTCTAGCTTCTCCCCTCTTATGGTCACTACCCGCTACATTCTATCTTGATTTAGGTCATTGCATAGGTGCTTTTTGAACGTTTCATGCAGAATGTGCCTCTTAATTCTGCTCATTATAACTTTTTTCTAGAAAGAGCTTTGGTGTTATCATTCCAGCTGCAAAAACACTATTCTTTCTACTGTGTCATAGATTTAGGAAAGCATGATGATTGGCTGACCTGGAAACCCAGGCAATTTGCCCCAACCTGAGAATCTGAGACTTCAGTGATTAAAAAAAAATTGCAATCTGCAAGACTATTACGGATGAGAAAAGCTAATCACTTCATCACAATCATTCAGAAAAGAACAGAAAAGTTATTCCATTACAACATGCTTTTCTCCCCCATCGAGAAGACCATTGCACATAACGATAACTGCATGTGAAACAGAATTTACTAATTATTATCCAAAATTTACCTCTTCATGTTTTCAAACTGTATTCCCTTATTGGAGTATCAAAAATTAAATATAAATAATATTTACCTTTTTCACTCTCTACACACCTTGCGTCACTTATCTTTCATGTTCCTTTCTGGATTAAAAAAATCCAAGTTTCAACAGCCTTTCCTCAAAATCTAGTCCTTTGACAATAAAGGTCATCCTTTTATCTTTTATATGCACTGCCTTCAGTGTTTGATTGTCTCTGTTGCATTTCATTAACCAGACTGGATGCATTAATCAATGTACAGTTCAACATGAGTACTGCAGAATTTGATTGCAATTTCCTTTTGCTGATATTTAACTGCTTGGTGATGTCTATTAGCTTTATTATATGATGTTCTGAATTGATTATACATGCTAAAGATCTGCTAAGTCCCTTAGATCTTGTTTAGTTTTACTTTAGCTATTTCAACACATCATAGAATCCCTACAGTGTGGCCCAACACATCCACACCAACCCTCAGAGCATCCCACCCAGACCAATCCCCCTATAATCTACCTAATCTACACATCCCTGAACACTATGGGCAATTTAGCATGGCCATTCCACCTAGCCTGCACATCTTTGGACTGTGGGAGGAAACCAGAGCACCCGGAGGAAACTCACTCAGATACGGAGACAATGTGCAAACTCCATACAGATAGTTGCCCAAGGGTGGAATTGAACCCAGGTTCCTAGCACTGTGAGGCACCAGTGCTAACCACCGAGCCACCGTGCCACCCCAATAGTATTCAAAAAATGTCTTTTTGTTTGGACAAAACTAAAAATCAAGTTAAGCAATGGCTAAAGATAATATTTTTGACAAACATCTCAGTACATTCTGTATAGACATGAAATAAGACAACGTGTGGCACAGTTACATTAAGGATTACACAAAAGGATGTAGGGAAAAGCCAACTGCATTTTGTTTGCAAACATAAGTCTTTAGATACAGTGTGCCATTGCCTGTGTCACCAAAGAACCCACAAAACGTTTAATTCTTTCTTCTCTCCCACTATGTCTCAGTGTTGTTGCTGTTCTACAGCTGGGGTGGAGGGAACCTACTCAGCAATGGCCTTGGAGATTTGTGTCAGCGACCTTGGGAGCGTATGGGTCTGGACAGCCCTGACATACCAAGCCATGCTTGTCCTTCCCAGGATTGGAGAGGGGCAGACAGGGTAGAAGCAGAGGGACTGGCCACCTCTGGAATGTTCCAAGAGGAAATTTCTGAGGGACTTGGCTGTGCTTCTGACACTGTCCCCTGTCTCCTTGTGAGGAGAGGACATCTGGAATGAGTGTCAGTTTCCCCACTCACCATACTTTTGATCATGAGGATCAAGGGCTGGGGCTGTGGACTGCAGGTGGGTATGAGTGCCCCTAAGACCCTAAGGGCGATGGACTTGGT